TGAATCATTTACTACAACAAATATAGTTTTAGAATGAAGTCTCCAGGTTGCTCTGAAAATAACTACGTTGGGCCATTATTTTTTGACACGCATCGGGACAGTCAAAGGTTAGAACTCCATACATTTTGGTATAAAAAGTTTACTATTTCATTTGCATTAGTCATTATATATACAAGGTGTAAGAATACATGGATATATATTTGTGTTTATTATTTATATATCTTTTATAAAACAATTAAAGCACTAAAACCTGAACCTATTAGCAAAAGTTTTAAGTGGCTTTCTAAGACACTGAAATTGTAAGGTTAGAGAAGGGATGTGCAATCTTTCAACAATAATGGCCACACAATCTTTTTTTGCATTATTCTATTCATTAAACTTGGATGGCGTCAATGGCATCACTTAAGTGGACAGAATACAGATTTCTAGAAATGTTTTTGCATGCAAGGAGAGTTGTTCATTTTTTTATTCATTCTTTTTTAAGAGGCTTGTTATACCATACCCTTTTATTCACTATGAAAAATCAATTTATCTTCAATGAACTATCGTATTTTGAACATTTCTTTTTCCAAGCAGTTCTAAGATGCACAAAAAGGGATGGGGTAGTCAGTAGTTTATCATGCCTTGCATTCCAGTACTCTACAAATTTTGTCTCTTTCTAAAAATAAATAAATAAGAGGAATCGCAAGGAAGCCATGATGTAACCAAAAACAAATACACTTTTGTGGCATTATTTAATAAGTTTACAGTTGAGCTTCCAGAAGCAAAATCTTTAGTTTAGTCATAAAATACACATCTATCCATCATGCACAACTATTACATAAACTTTTTTCATCAGTTTAAATAAATGTTACCTTCCTGCCAATTTTCTACCCAGTGAGGTAAGTACTACTTGATGTATTTCTAATAGGAGGCAATCGAATTTCAACTTGGAAAGATTAAAAGATGCAGAACTCCAGCTACAGACACTAATTTGCTCTGTCAAATGTTTGGTTGCTGAACTATTTTAGGCAAATGGAAAGTTTGAGAAAAGAACAGAACAGGATAAAAATAGTTTGGACAACTCCCAAGTTACATTTTACCCACTGGTCTCCTGCTCTTTTTAAAAAAATACTATTTAAACAAGTTTCTATATTATTAGTTTTCTAGCAGTGTTAATCAGTAGATCAAACTGGAAAAGACAGCTTTTTATTTAAGCTTCTTACTATCTAAATGAGAAATTGAATGTTCCAATGGGGATAAAATTTAATGTGTTCCTTAAACAAAGATTTGTTATACATTTGTTTTAAACTGGATGTATATGTAATAAGTAAATTACATCATAATAAATAGAATGTTTTATTTCAAATATTTTATCTTTTACTTTCAATTAAATTGCCACATCAAATTATTATAAAATTGATTGTGGCCTATACATACCTACCCAGCAGGATTGCTAGTGCTGTTATATTATTTCTAATTATCTATTGCGGGAAAAAGTTCTAGGAGGCAGAAGTTGTATTCATTAAAAAATGTTATCATATCAAGAACAAAGCTAGACATGTAATTAAATAAATATGGAATAAAAACTTGCTTGTTATAATTTATTTCTGCTCTACTCTAATATACTAATTATTTAATTAATGCAGCAGACGTAGACAATTTAATATTTCATAAAATCCCATCAGACTCCACAACTGAATAATGTAATGGGCAGCCACAATATCAGAGAAATAACCTGTTCCAGTAGTATATTGTCTTTTATTTACAACTACTTAACATTCAATAAAAGGTGGTACAAAACTACAGGTTCAAAAAATGACTTATTTTAGTTAACTACTGCAGATATAAATGGGTTCCTCCCCTGAGCTGTTGGCATCCACCTCAATTCTGTTTCTTACTTTTTATTCTGAATCAATCTAAGTGAAAAAAAAAGTCTTAATACTGGATAAATACAAACAATAATGGGATGGACACATCTTTTAACTGCATAAAAAAGATAACTCTGAACACTATTGATCTCTCCTCCATAATTTTCTTAGCAAATACTTTTAACAAAGGCATCTTATTCCAACTTTTATATAATTAATGTGTGGCTGTTCAACTGATTTTAAGCTAGCCTATTTTCAGATTCAGAGTTCTATTCTGTGATGACAATTTAATGGAACCCCAAAAAGAAGCAATATAAAAATTATCAAATCAACATATCTACATTTTAAAAATGTTACTGGCAGAGACTATCCACCATCATTGACACTCATACTCAAAACTATTTTCCTCCAGGTGCTAGACATGTTGTCTGAGAATTTTGTGAATCCTCTATGACACATCTGGATGGAATCAGATTATAGAATATTAACTGATTCTATTTATGCATTTATTCTTTGGGGCCAGTATATGTTAATTGTTTCCTTGTATTCCTTTTCTAATAGTTTGATTACTATCTATTTGCTGTAACAGAACTATTAAACATTTGCACCATCAATACTGCTAATTCATTATTCCAAGCAGAATTTGGTACCGCAAAGAAATCTGCAAAGAATTGTCTCTTTCTGATCTTGCTGGTATCTTACTTAAGTATCTGAGTACATTTGAAACTGCAGTTTGTAATTCGTTCCAATGCCTGTTTGAAAAGCCAAATGAACTAAAAAATTCTCCACATTTTTTCTTTGATTTAATCATACATATTGCTTAAGGCTACAGAAACACACACATACACACAAATTCTGTATCAAGAGCACTCAAATTCCGTGATAAGAAAAGTTGAATTCAGTTACTTATATAAATTAAATCCATAAGCACATTTTAAAGATTCCCTCATTCCTGAATTATATTATATTCTGCCACTCCTGATCACAGAGAAGGGAAGACTGTCCACAAGGGGTTGAAATCCTGATGCCGAATTTCCGTTTTCCCTCTGACTTCTAAGATTTCACTAGACACCCTCATGTTTTTACTTATACCTTAGCTAACACAAGAGCTGGAAGCTTTTTTTTTTTTTGCTATTGATTCATTTGCTCTTCTTGTTTTGCTATGAAGTTTGCCTCATTTTGAATTATGCCAATTTTTTATGCATCTCAGAACACCAAATTCCTAAATATTGAATGGGGAAAGTGATAAAAGGAAGAGTCAAACATCTCTCTTTTTATAATGTACTGGAATATGTATTTTCTAGGCCAAGGTTGTATCAGTGAACCTATAACACACGTGCAAACTTTAGGTATCTGGTAATTAAGAAGGATACAACAACTATATGATGCTATCATCTTTTTCTTCTTTCTTAATTAGAGTTTGATTCAGCAAAAGATGGCAGCCAACATTATCAGGCAAACCACAACTCCACCTCAGAATAAAGTCATTGCATTTAACTCCCTGTAAGATGATCATATTCTGTACCAAGTCATTAGTGTTATATTCACAATTTATGGTGCCTTTTACAGCTGGCAAGTTATTTTTTCATTTGCCACATCATAGATACTAGATAGATACTATGTAAAAGTCAGGGTCGGTCACTTTCATACAGAAAATAAGGCAGGTAATGACGATTTAAACATTATGATTTGTAGGAAAATATATTAATTTCCACTTACTGACATTAAAAATATACTTAAATTCATGTCCTTTCCATGGATGAATATCATAAACAGGGCAGGAAAGAATCAACATTTTAAAAAAAATGTTAGTTTCTAAAACAGTAATGATATAATTATGAATGTATACTTGATTTTCTAAGCCACATTTATTAGCACTGTTCCAGAGCAACTTGTGCATATATTTTAGCCAAATTTACAAAGTTGGAGTTACAGTTTTGCCATGTAGCTCCTCAGGTATCACGCAAAGAAGACTACAGGTTGAAAAAGAAAGTGGAGGAGGAGGAAGAGGAGTGCTATACCTTGCTGGTCGTTTTTTTGTAAAGCAGACATTACTATTGTGCACTGAATCTCAGAATAGCAATAAGCCAAATTTAAAAGCTGCCTACTGCTTCAGAAATCCAGGTCCAAAGAAATTATCCAGTTACCTCAAAAAGCCTAAGTATAGGAATCATCTTTATAGCATCACGTGGCATCACAGTATCATAATCTCTCCCCAATACACAGAAACACACAAATAGACACACAGAGAGATGATATAACAATTCACACCGACTGACATAAAAGCAGCCCTCTCAAACCTGACCAAAAAAAGATGTCTTACAATTAAAAAAAAACCTACCACTCAATAAATAACAATATATTTAAAAAATAAATTAGCATTTAAGTAAGATTTATTCCTGCTGAAATATATTTTCCATTTTATGGTACATTCTCCAGTCAGAAAGCTGTCTCTCTATCCCACAGCTCAATGTTATGTTACACTTTGCTATGAATCAATATATACTTTCAGCATGTTTTATCACTTCATCTCTTTTACTTTTTTAAGTATATAGGTTCTGTTCCAATAATCTGTTTTTGGCTATACTATACATTTCTAACTAAAAAGTTTATCAATAAAAGTCTTTAAGAAAGACTTAAAGTCAATTTTCAAAAATATGACACTGCATGCAACAGAACTTACTTTAACATTTAGAAAGGATTAACTGTGATATGAACATGTCAATTTGTTTCTCTCATTTCATGTTAGTGGCATCTGTAAAGGGAGTATTTAAACATCAGCATGCTTGAAAGGTAAGCTCCAGTTTTGATTCTGAATGCTAAATAACAGAAAATATTTGGGACAAATTCAACCTATTTAAACTAATGTCATCTTTACTAAATTTATAGCTATTTCTCCTAAATGTGAGACATTAATTAACTTAATCTTTAAAAAAAAAAAAAAAAAACTTTCTTGCAGCTTATTTCTTTGAGGTATCAAGACTGTATTGCTGCCTTCTTAATCTGCTTCTCCCCTTAACCTGATTCAATCAATGGTGGTTTTATCATTAAGTATCAAAAAGGGGCAGATTATCCCACAAATTAATTAGCACCACACATGCTGCAGAATAAGACAGTGATATATAAGAAGAATTTATAAACAGTGTTTACCTTAATACTTTTCCTACTGCTTGTAGAACCATTTTGCAACTTATTCCAGTTTTGGGAGTTTGAGAAAGTACAGGTCTTTCACTGCTGTGGTTACAATGATCTCCAACCATGTTCGAAAGAGGCAGAAAGAGAAGTGGAGAGAGCAGTGGTGGTGATGAGAGAAAGAGAGAGAGAGAGAAAGAGAACTAGAAGCTGCTGGTACCTATTTCGATAGCTCACCCTCTCTTTCCTATCCTCCTCAAAAAAACTAGTCCAACTACATTCACAGAGTTCATAGCTTACTTCACTCTAACCCTTCCTCCTTCTTTACTTCAGCCAATAAGAAAGCAGCAATGGAAACAGGAAAAAAAAACCACCCTCAGCTAGAAAAGACAAACAGCTGCTCCTTTTTACAAATTCTTCAGTAAAAGCCAAGCCTGGGAAGTTAATGCCAATAAGGAAGCATCTGAATCGGGTTTTTTTCAGGCTGGCGCCGGCTGTAAAGCAACACAAGGGAAGTAGTGTGGGGAATAAGCAAGCTTCTTTCAAGCGTCCAGTTTGTACTACAATTTTATTAGGGATGGTGCATGCACAGAGGAGAGGAGGGAACTGCTTTAATTTGTAGCATATTAAAAAACATAGCTGAACAAACAAGTGAAAATATTTCATGATAAGCAGTTTTCTGCCTAAATCCTTATTCCTCAAAAACATCAACAAGCCTTTACCAATTTGTCTTTCATAACTAAGAAGCTCAATCTGATTTTTAACTTAGTTACTAATGTATTTACCAAACCATAATTTTTCAGAGTTGCATTGCTTCACAGTGCTTATCAAAGTATACTAACCTAAATGTTCTAGTATTCTGGCACTAGAAAAGTTCAGATAAGATTTGACTGAAGTTAGTCAACAAGCATGGCATTCAACATTTCTTAAATCACTAATGCCTATCAACAGTGATGGACTATAAATACTTGAATAAAGAAGATACAAATCATACATCACATCTTTGTCTCAAATGCAAAGAACTGCTTTTGTAATAGCAATGAACGGCTAATTCAACACTGGAAGGTATTTTATAAGTATGCTCTATTACAGTTTTAATTCGTTACCAACAGTGTCACATTTAGTGAGAATTTATCTATTCTACAGATCTCTCAATTCAAACATAATTTTAACAAACATCAACACTAGCTAGCCTCATTCATATCCTTATAGTTATGAAACAGGCAAAAGGAGGAGAAAAGTTGTAACTAATAGTGAAGATTCAATAACACTACAAATGTATAGTAGGAAAATTAGCTAGTTAGAGTATAAAGGTAGTCAATAGTAATGATCTGACCTAGGCATGTTTTTTTAATGGTTATTTTAAGATGTGTTTAGCTACCCAGTGTCATATTTGCAAGATGGTCTGCTATATAAATGTATTAAATAAAAAATAAATAAATAAATACAACTATGTCCAATTCTTCGGAGGGGAGGATAAAATAGTTTATAAAATCAGTTTATGAGGAGGTTAAGTAGATTTTTTCCCCCAGGTATACCTCATCATCCATTGGAATACAAATATATTTTCTGTCTTGTACGTTAAAATAAACTGAAGGAGATAAGATTGTGCAATTTGTCTAATAAAATTACATATCAGTATACCAGGGTCCCCCAACCTTTCTGGCTCTGCAGACTGGCGGCAATGGTGGTGAGGGGACAGGGGATGGTTTCACACGTACACACTCTGCTGGCACAAATGCTTGCTCGCCCGCTGCTTGCACAGCCTAGTTCCCAAGGGGCTGGAGGCCTGGAACTGGGCTGCAGACCAGGAGTTGGGAACCCCTGTAGTAGAGCAAATGTCTACACTCTCATTTTCCACTTTCAATCTTATGGTCAAATGTTCTCGTGAGAATCAAAGAACATACTGCCAATAAAGATTTCAGCAATTTATTATTTATTTTATTTATTGAATGTATTTGCTGTCCATCTCATAACAATGTATTTGCTGTCCATCTCATAACAATGTATTTGCTGTCCATCTAATAACAGCTACAGCTTACATTAGCGGTTCTCAACCTATGGGTCGCGACCCCATTTGGGGTTGATCGACCATTTCACGGGGTCGCCAAGCAAGGCTGTCCGCCATTTTTTTCCCTTTTTCCAGCGGGTGCCTTACCTCCCTTGAGCTGGGCCAGCTGGTGGTCGGCCTGCTCTGTCTCTGCCGCTTGCCAGCTACGCCTCCGCCGGTGCAGGGGGCGGAACCACGCATGCGCGGCGCTCCCAGGCAGGGAAAGTCCCCGACTTACGACCGGTTGGGTAGTCCTTGACTTACAACCGGTTTAGTCCTCGACTTACGACCGGTTTAGTCCTCGACGTACGACCGGTTTAGTCCTCGACTTACGACCGGTTGGGGGTCGCGGCATTAAAAAGGTTGAGAACCACTGGCTTACAGCATTAAAACATTAAAATCCTAACAAATAAATATATCTAAAACAATAGAAATAGAAATCCCAATCAAGATAAAATTATAGTTAAAAGATGGGAAGGGGGGGAGAGAATACGTAGGGTAGTGGTGGTGGTATTGCCTCTTAATTCATCAATGAACTCCAGCATGAAGCTCCCCAATTGTGTCCCCAAAGCTATTTGGCAGAGCCAGGTCTTCAGGCTCCTGCAGAAGGTAAGAAGGTTGGGAGTCAATCTCACCTCAGAGGGTAAGATATTCCCAAGGGCAGGAGCCACAGCAAAGAAGGCCCTTCTCCTGGACCCCGCCAGTCAGAATTCTTTGATTGGCAGGGCCTACAGCATGCCTCCTCTGCTAAGGCAGGTGAGGTGGCTTTAAAGATAATAGCCAACACCCAGAATGAATTTCACCCAGAAGCAGATTCATGAAGTAGTGATGTAACATGGGTCATCCTAGGGACTCCCAAGAATTGCCTGTACCTCCATACTCTTTCAAGTATAGCTAAGCTTGCTATATTTAAGCCAGTAATAGTAAAACACACTTCACATCTAATGTAAATGGACAATAAAACAAACAATACTGAGAATTTAATTACTCTGTAGAGAAACTTTCCATCATTGAATATTTTTTAAAAAAATAATCCCTTTGAATGAGAAAACATTTCCAAAATGTAGGTTCCATATTATGTGACTTCCAATGGAAATATTTATTTAAAGAAAGATGAGTATAAATCGAATGAAAGATTAAAAGAATGAATGAATGAGTGAAGTAACCAAGTTCAATCCCTGTCTGTTAAAAGAATTTATCTGAAATGTATATTATATACTATTTTTACATACTGTTTGAACCATATGTCCTGAATTTGTCTCATAGCAATAAACCCTATATTTGTTATTATGCATTCCATCTGACTTACATACTTCTTTATTCACTCTAACGAAACAATTACTAAGCATGCATGAACATTCAAATACATATTGCTAATGTTCAGTCTGATAAACTGTAAACATAGCACAGCCATTTTGCCTCAATATAAACAATTATGTAGATACATCTTATAATGCATGTAAAAAGGAAAGCTTTACAACAAGCTTATAAGTTATTATCAAAAGACAACTGACTGCTATTCTAAGCAACAAAAAGCTCTGCTAAAACTCTTAAACAAAAGCATTGCTTTATTTACTAGAAAGCATTAATAAAAGCATAATACTTTTGAGAATTTATAACATAACTGTGATCAATTGTTGCTTAAGTAGCTGTTTATTTGCCTCTTTCTGGAGTAGTCATTAAAAATACAAGTAGAGGAATATTAATATCATGAGGCCTCAGAAGAAAGACTTTTCTCTATTAAAACATCAACAATGGGTAATATCCATATTACTTTTAAAAGATACAAAATAACATTAAGAAATGCTCAGCTCTAGCTGAAAAGCCATGTAACCTAAATTGCAACCTATATTAAAACACCAAATTGTAACCTACTTATACCATGTCCTTGTTCAACTTACTTGAATGACTCTACTTCACTACTAATTGTACTTCTGATACTATCTGAGAATGTAACCTAAATATAGTAGAATGTATTTTAAAGCCACTAGAAAAAACATTTTCATTTAAACTTCTAGCAGGGGCTTTCAAGGAAGGAAGGAAGGATTAATTGCAGGCTTTTACATGAAATTACTGGGAGAGTTGTATCTGTGCTGTACCAAGCTACTGGAAGGATGAAGCAAGAACAATTTTTACAACTTTTTCTTGCATGTATTAACTCCCAATGATTATTTGCTTTCTGTGTTAAATCTATAATTCCTAAAAGAAGATTTTCTTACGTTGTTTTGTAGATGCTTTTAATTTCTTGATTTCTAATTTTGCTTAATTCCTTAGTGCTGATTTGCTTGATATTTTACTCATTTTATATAGATTTTTCCACTTATCACTTCTTAATTTTCCTGTCCCTAACATTCTGAGGTACAACGTAGCTACAAATTCTTTCTAATCATCATTGCTGGTTCGTAATCCTTGTTCTGTGAATGCATAAAACAGCATTCTCTAGGAGTATTGTGAAATATTTTGCAACACAGGAAATAGACTATTTACTTTCCCCCCACATGATCTTAACTTTTGCTAGAATCTTGATCTACCTAGAATATGTGACACCTACTTTTTAGCACAGGTTTAATTCTAGATTGCATTTAGGATGATTAAAGGCCTGGAGACTAAAACATGAAGAACGGTTGCAGCAATTGGGTGTGGCTAGTCTAGAGAAAAGAAGGACTGGGGGGGGGGAGACATGATAGCAGTATTCCAGAATTTAAGGGGCCACCAAAAGAAGAGGGGGTCAGCTTATTTTTCAAAGCATCAGAAGGCAAGATGAGAAACAATGGATGGAAACTAATCAAGGAGAGAAGCAACCTGGAATTAAGGAGAAACTTCCTAACAGTGAGAACAATTAGCCAGTGAAACAGCTTCCCTTCAGAAGTTGTGGGTGCTTCATCACTGGAGGTTTTTAAGAAGAGTCTGGACAGCCACTTGTCTCAAATTGTATAGGGTCTCCTGTTGAGCAGGGGATTGGACTAGAACAGAGGTCACCAACCTTTTTGGGCACCAGGGACCGGTGCCATGGAGAAAGGTTTTTCTGTGGACCAGAGGGGGTGTGGTTTTGAATACTGCCTGCATCCCAAGGATGGAGTTTTGCTTGTTTGTGCGGCCCGCTTGCTGGCATGCTGTGGACTGGTGCCGGTCCACGGACTAGGGGTTGGGAACCCTGGACTAGAAGATCTTCAAGGTCCCTTCCAGCTCTATTCTGATTGATTGATTTTCCAAATTAATTCTGAAGTTAAAAATGCATTA